AATAATTTCCTGATATATCTGTCGAGCATTTTAAGGCTCGTCTTGTTGTCAAAGATTATATTTGATTCCTAGTCTCGATTACTAAGACACTTTCAGTTTGCTTGTCAAAACTACTACTATCCGTATTGTGGTTTATCTTGTTGTCACAAATAAATGGCCTTTCGGCAACTTGATGTCAAGAATACTTTCTTCCATGGAACTCTTATTCAACATGTACATATAGAACAACTTTTTGGGTCCTCGATTTCTCACTCATGTCTATCTATTAAAAAAAGCTCTCTGTGGCTTAAAGCAAGCTCCTCGTGTTCGATTTTAACGTTTCAACTCATTCTTCTCACACTTGGTTTTTCTTTCAATCGCACTGACACGTCTCTTTTTTTCTTTCATCAACAATCTAACCTTATCTATATGCTTCTTTATGTTGATGAAATTATTGTTACTGACAACAACCCATATGTTTTTGACAGCTTTACTTGCAAGCTTCATTCTGAGTTTGCTACTAAGGATTTGGGCTCTCTCAGTTACTTTCTTAATCTTGAAGCTTCACCTACTCCTGATGGTCTCTTTATTAGTTAGTTAAAATATGCTCGAGATAATCGTACTCGTGCTTAGTTGCTCAATAGCAAACTAGTCCACACCTCCATGGTCGTTTCTCAACACCCAAGTGCTAATGGATCTAGATTTGGCATATGGAAGCACCAACCTCTCCTTGGGTTGAGATCTGGACTCAACCTATAACTAGTGGTCCTTGCTAATCTTCTATGTCCCCCGTGACATAGTCAGGCGATTATGAAGTACCAAAGGAGATCCTAGGTGGTTTAGAGTGGCACCTAGCAGTCTTCATGTCATTGTAGGCTTAAGACTTGGATTGCTCATTCTTGAATGTCATCCTTATGGTCCTTGAACCTAGAGTATTATTTTACGTTCATGAGGTTTTAGGTTTTGACACTAAGGGTTCTTCTAAAACTTAAAGTACAACTGGAGCATGAGTCATGTTACAACGTTCTTAAGCCTTAACATTTCATGTGTTGGTCTTTTGTCATCATTATACTTCTTGGACTTCATAGATTCTCATGAGGATATTCTTCGATCACGACTAAGGTAATATACTTTATTGTGCTAACCACAAACTTATTTTGGTTTTTTTAGTTTCTTGTATCATGAGCCATGACGTGTAGTCAACATGATAGCTATTCCCATCATGTCCTATGACTACTCCCCGTGAAGACCTTAAGGTCACTTGATTGATGATCAAATCCGGCAAGAAATGTGGTTGAGACATCCTAAAATTGGATAGGATGAGCATGCAAAATATGGGGTATGGTAAACCAGCAATATCAAGAAGTCTTGTAAAAATATGGCGCTAAGGCATCCCTTCTAGGTGATGTAAAGTTGGCTTAGGACATCCTACCTAGATGAGGAAAATATGAACATCACGCTAAAGCTGGCACAAGACATCCTATGTAGATGAGAAAACACATGGATATCATGATACATCTCATGGTGGAAGGTAAAGGTTAATCTTGAGCATGATTAGAGTATTACCTAGTATTCTTGGAGGTCATCATAATTTTCGGGCATGGTGTGTAATGTTCTTGACTGATTCATGTCTATATGGTAGTAATCTTGACATAATATTATAGACTATCCCTAAAGTAATGCATACTTGTAATACACCCTAACTTTATGGTATGCTTAGAATTCATGGTGCTAAAGTAAGCATACATGTTTTATTCATGTCAACATATCATTCTCACAGATTAATATCATAGATGTTATAATATATCTTGTGGGGTTCATGGAATCTTCATGAATTCTTATAAGTGGTCATTAGGGGTATTTTTTTTTCTTTGATCACTTGAGTACGTTCCTACCCCAAACATGTTTGGATCCTTTTAAGATACATGAGTTTCTTATAAAATTTCATGTCTTTATGTCCTTAAGTCTTAGGGACTTAAAAGCACATGTGGGGCTGTTTTTTAGGTTATTGTCCTTTGAGCATTTTCTTAGTTTCATTGGGTTATTGGGTTCTTGCTCCAATCTTAAGGCTCAATTACGACATAAGTCTTAACATGGATTTTTAAGCACTAATACAAGTACATAAGGCATGAATATGTGAATTTGTCATAATAGCTTGCATAAGTCTTTCATAAAGATCATAACACATCCCTTAAAGTTTTTAAGCAAATCATGAATCTTTATTAGGAACCTTTGACGCAATATCTACCACTTTTGAATAGATATGAAAATATTATTACTCAACGAGAGAATACAGATTTAAGAATGTGAAAATATAATTGGGATCGAAGGTTCAACCTTCATTCATATTCACAACCTTCAAATAGGATACAAGATACTAAGTAATATCTACAAATAAGAAAAATATAAACCAACTAAATCTTGTGAATAAAATAAAATATACTATAAATCAAATCTAAAGAGAAAAATATTAACGGAATCTAAGATATATTTTCTAACTAATATATTCTCCAAATATTAATGGATTACGAATATCATATATTTCATAACTAATTCAAACTAGAAATAAGTTGCACTAAATTCTGACAGCCTCCCTGCGTGCAAGCTTATTTCTCAATAACTCCGAGAGCCTCTACGAAAAACTTCAAACTTCACTTTGGCAAGTGACTTAGTAAATTTGTCTGCATCTTGCTCATTAGTATGTATTTCCTGCAATTCAACATCCTGCGTTAACACTTTCTCTCGAACAAAATAATCTACGAAGAATTTCTTCCAATTAGGCTTGCGTATGGACTTCTTAGGCACACCACCACCTAAATAAGACACTGACATATCATGTTCAATGATTTTCTTCTTGATAAGTTCCACATCACAGCGATTCAATCTGGTAATCTTCTGAAAAAATCTAATTTTGAGAGCATTTGACAGTTCCGGTCTCAGAACAGTCTTCTCTCCAATGATCTTAAACTTTGAGGCTTCCACAACTATAAAAGCTCATTCACCATTTGAGTCCACGTAAAGTCCACCCAAAATATACAAAGCATCTACATGGCTAGGCTTCAAGTCGATATGACCCTCCAATAATTGAATATGAGCTTTTGATTACTCCAATTCTAATGACAAAGAGTAATAATTCATTTCAACTTGTGCAGACTCAACATACTCCATACACCGGTGAATTACATCACTGGTAGACTGCAAAAGCTCTTGATCTTCTGACCCTTTTTTACCACTCAATATATCTGAAGAAGCTTTATATCCTTGGTCAATGTCCAAGTCATCCTTACTATAATCACCAAGGGCATGCTTGAGCTTCTGAGCAAGGGACTCATCTTCTTCAGCTACCCAACCATCATGCTCATCATAAGCACAATCACCATTGTCACTGGATGCATAGTCTTGACTTAATAGGGTGTCAAATCGATCAACCAAAAGCCACCGAGTTCGTGGCTTATCAACATCATCTTCCACATGGTCAACGTTTGCATCCTCAAAAATGTCGTCGCCAAAAGATTTGTTATTAACAATATTCTGGCTTCCTGTCGCCTTCTCAGAATCCTTAGCCACACTAAACTTATTATCCGTTGAACCATCCTCCCCTTCTTCACATAAATTTGCCTGAGCTACGAAATCCTCCTCCTAGTCCTCAACATCAGAACCAAATCGTGATAAATCATCATCATCAAGCAGTGCAACTATTTCTGGGTCAGGTTGGGGCGGAGCATCAGTAGCCGAATCCTGCAAATTGATAGTTTGATCCAAATTCTCCAAGATGAGGAAATCGTCAGCCTCAGAGGGGAGGTTAAGACCGTCAAAATCATCAAAGGTTAGCTCGAAAACTTCATTTTCGTCGAATCCCAAATCCAAGGCCGTGGAATAAACAGAAGGGTCATCAGGGGCGACAGAATTGGCATCGGAGAAAAAGAGAGAGTCCATAAGCGAAATTTGGAGAGAATCAAATTTAGAAGCGCAAGTAGTGGAATTAGAATTTTGATCACCTGTAGAGACATCATCTTGATATACGGCTGAAGTCATGTTTGTTGGCTGATCAAGAACCTCAGTGGTTAAGTAGTATTCCCAAATTGGATCTGAAGAATTTTTACTTTCGTGTACAACATTTGCTTTTGATTCCTGGATTTTGACTCAGCAATTTGGCTTTATATGGCCTGGCTTTCTGCAACGATCACACACCACTTTCGCCTGACAATCTCGTTTAAAGTTGCCTGGTTTTCCACACCTATAACAAGCTTTAAATGGCTTCTTTGACGACTCCTCACTTCTGAATTGATTCCCATTGCTAGATGAAGGCTTTGAATGAAAATTCTGTCTCCTTTGATCTTTGACATACAACACATCTTCTGACTTTCGAGAAAACTCGTTACTGCTACTCATTTGCTTAATCAAGGCTTCCTGATTGGAAAGAAGATTCTCCAATTCAATTACTGTAGCTGATTTGCCCACCCTTGTCTTGAGGAAACAAAGGGCATAAACTCTTTCCGTAATCCACGAATAAGATAACGCCATAATCGAGCCTCACTCACTGGTTCCTCAGCATCTAATTCTGAAATTTTAGAACATAGATTTTTCACTTTCAAAAAATATTCTTCAACAGAAAAATTACCTCGAGTTACCATAGTTAGTTCATTCTCTAGAAATTGCAGTCGAGCGGTATTTTTCTTAGTGAACAACTTTTAAAGTGTATTCCATACTTGCTTTAGTGACTTTAAATCACGAACATGATCAATATACTCCTTGCTAATCAAAGTTCGCAAGGTAAATAAGGCTTTTCTGCATTTGATCTTCCATTGTTGACGTAATTTTGCATTCTATGGAGTATCGGTTGGAATTTCTGTGTCATCACCTTCATTTAAATCCCGCAAATCTTGCCCTTGTAGATAAGCTTCCATGCATAACTTCCAATAACTATAGTTATTGGCAACCAGCTTTTCCATAGGTATACCCATTGAAACACTCCCACTATTCATCTCGTTGAGTAATAATATCAAACCGTACCAACCTGGCTCTGATACCAACTGACACAATATCTACTACTCAAAAGTGTGAATAGATATGAAAATATTATTACTCAACGAGCGAATACAGATTTAAGAATGAGAAAATATAATTGGGATCGAAGGTTCAATCTTCATTCATATTCACAACCTTTAAATAGGATACAAGATACTAAATAATATCTACAAATAAGAAAAATATAAACCAACTAAATTTTGAGAATAAAATAAAATATACTGTAAATCAAATCTAGAGAGAAAAATATTAACGGAATCTAAGATATATTTTCTAACTAATATATTCTCAAAATATGAATAGATTACGAATATCATATATTTCATAACTAATTCAAACTAGAAATAAGTTGCAATAAATTCTGACAACCTTTAGGAGCAGCTTAATCATTTCTTATCCCAACATGTTCTAATGCTCTTAAAGACTTGCATAACCATTTATAATATCGTAAATGGGCCTCTTAAGAAAGTTAGTAACATTTAGAGTTTATTTGATTCAAACACGTTGAAATCTTGACTAAACTTTCATGTCTTTAACCCTAGTTAAAATCGTAAGTGATTTGGAGGTTGTTTAGACCATGAAATATCATAAGAAAATTATAGGGACATTTTGGTCGTTTTATCATTAATTCTTGATTTAGTTTGTTCAGGTGCTCCAATGACTTTGAAACTTTTAATAACATCTTATATCCTTGAGAATAGGGCTTATATAGGATGACCGGTCATTTGGTCCATAAATTAACACTTCATGTATGGTAGGGGTATTTTAGTGATTTTGCACTTATGATTTGTTTATGTCCTAAAGGAGCTCCTATGACTGCAAATTTTAATTAAAAAAATATTTTATTTTAAAATCAAACCCTTCCCTCAGTTTGTTGGGAGTTGAGGAGTAGAGAAGTAAGTGGAAAGAAGTGGAAAATGAAATATTGGTATGATTTATAGATATTTGTGTAATTAACCCAACGGTTGGGGTGGTGACAGAAATGCCTTCTATAATGCACACTTAAATTCCATTATTGCTTTGATATTTAAGTGCAAAGTTTATACGAAACCACAGCAAGACATTGAGTCAACCGTCAACAACCCAAAAAGCCCCGACCCCACACCCCACCACCACTCATCTCAATATAATATAAGAATTTCACTATATTTCCTAAAAAAAAAAAATCTAAATTACTTTTTCCAACAAATAATATTTGCTTTTTTATTCTAGCCTTAAATTCAAGTTAAAAATTTTGAGATTAAAATTAATTCTGTTTTTTAAAATTTGATAAAAAAAAAAATTGGAGTAATTTAAATTTTAAAATTGGAACATTAAGAACTTATGAGATAGGACCACAAATGGGCCAAATAATTATTTAACCAAAGAAAAAAAAAAATAGAACACAAATGGGACACATCGGTGAAAGAGTGAGTGAAGGGAGTGATGGTGATCAAAATTGAGAACCGAAGAAGGTCCATTTGGATTGGAATCTGAAAGCGAACCCATCTTCTTCTTCTTTCTTTATTACATTTCATTTGGGCACTGAGTTGTTCCTCCTTTTCTTCCACCAATTTCGCCTCCATTACCCCAAACCAACCCTCTTCTCTCTCCTTTTACTTTCTTCTTTCTTCTTTCTTCTTTCCCACTTTCCTCTCCTCCATCTCTGAATTCGCTCAACCTCCCAACCTCCCACCGCCCAACATGCCTCCCCTTGTCCCCTTTCTCTTCTTCTTCTTCTTCTTCTTCATCCCTTCTTCCATGGCTGCTCCTTATCCCTTCAGTAAGCTCCATTTCACTGCTTTTACTCTCTCTTTCACCTTCTTCTCCAACTTCCACTGACTCTGACTTACTTTCCCCTTTTTTTGGTTTCAGGCATTTCTTACCATATTGACTGCGGTGGTCTAATCAACTCCACCGACCCATTTGCCACTACTTGGCTCTCCGACCGATTCTACACCGGCGGCACCACCGGAATAGTCTCTGAGCCCCTAATTTTCCATCACCCACAAGAGAAGAATCTCAGATTCTTCCCTCTTTCCTCCGGCAAGAAGAATTGCTACATTATACCCAATTTGCCCTCTGGCCGATACTACTTCCGCACATTCACCGTCTATGACAATTACGATGGAAGGTCTCACCCTCCTTCCTTTGATGCCTCCATTGAAGGCACTCTCGTCTTCAGTTGGCGTTCTCCTTGGAACGAGGACCTCGCCCGCCATGGCGCCTACTCCGATCTCTTCGCCTTCATTACCGATGGTGAGGCTGATTTTTGCTTCTACAGCCTTTCTACCGATTCGCCGGTGATTGGGTCTTTTCAGCTCGTTCAGGTCGATCCCTTGTCATATAACTCAACCGCCATTGGAGAGAATTTCATTCTTGTTAACTATGGAAGGATTACTTGCGGTTCTGAGCAATGGGGCCCTGGGTTTAGCAATGATACCGACGTTTTCGGTCGCTCCTGGCAGTCTGATTTGGACTTCATAATCCCCACTCTGAAACAATCGGTTAAAGTTTTGTCGACTACAAATTCCGTAAGTGGGACCGATCAGCAGCCCAATTATTTTCCAATGAAATTGTATCAGAAGGCGGTCACTGGGGGAAGAGGGGTTCTTGAGTATGAATTGGGGGTGGACGCCAAATTGGACTACTTGATTTGGTTGCATTTTGCAGAGATTGATTCGAGTGTGAAGAAGGCCGGGCAGAGAGTGTTCGATGTGTTTATAAATGGCAATAATGCGACGAGGATCGATATCTTTGCAAAAGTGGGAAGTTTTGGAGCTTATTCATGGTCTTATACTGTAAAGAATTTGAGTAGCTTGACTTTGACTGTGAAACTTGTGGGGGTGGTTGGCTCGCCGCTACTCAGTGGGCTTGAGAATTACGCTTTGGTTCCCAGAGATCTTTCCACCGCGCCAGAGCAAGGTATGTGCGTTTTATATCGTCATTGGCTTGAATTTCGGGCTATTGCTCTCTGTTGTAATAAACTTGAATTTGGGCATGATGCATTTCGATTGTAAAGTATGTAGAATGGAGCTTGAATATGTTTACAATTTTAGAGGCACCTTTATTTTTGGATGATTGCAGTGTCTGCAATGAGAGCATTGAAAGAATCACTCCGTGTGCCGGGCAGAATGGGTTGGAATGGCGATCCTTGTGCTCCTACAAACTGGGATGCTTGGGAGGGAATAACATGTCGACCCAACAAGAACGCGACGGCCCTTGTTATATTTCAAATGTAAGCATCATAAAATATCTCTTCCTTTATTAGCAAGAGAGATTTACCTGTTTAAATCATTTGCCATTTCAGTGATCTTGGAAGTCAAGGCTTGAAAGGGTATATCAGTGACAAAATTATTCTTTTGACAAACTTAGTAAGCCTGTAAGTATCGTCTTAAAATTCTACTTTTCTATAATTGTCGGTCTAAATGCTGTCAGTTGTGACATCTACTAGCTCGTTCTCATCTCACTTGGTCTATTCTGTCAAATCTGAAGAATCAGTTCTTGCATATAAAATTTGACCTTCTCATGGTTCTTCAGAATCATAATAGTTTTTGTTTTGCTTTGTTCTTTTCGTCAAATGAACAGAAATCTTAGTTCTAACTCGTTGGGGGGCACGATACCACCTGGGCTCGGTGAAAGTTCTCTTACCCGGCTGTAAGTATGATTGTTTTCTTTTACTTGTTCAGTTGCAGTGTCTATCTAGGCTTGCAAAGTTAATGAAAAATTTTGTTTGTTGAGGTTCGAATCTGTATTCCTACAAATGGATAACGTAGGAAAAAGGGAAGACGAAAAAGGAAATAATCTTATCCGAAGTTAATGAAAAGTTTTGTTTGGAACCATCATTTTCAAATTTCTCTTTAGTGTTACATGTATTAAAAATATCGTGTTCTACAAATACGTACCTGTGAAGTTATAGTTTTATTTTATGTGGGTATTATTTTGTATTACTTCTTTTAACGAAATGATTTGGTGTTCATAAATAGCAGCATCTTTCAGTGATTATTTATGCTAAAATGTATCTGACTTTTGTAGGGATTTGTCAAATAATGAGTTAACAGGATCTATTCCAGATAGCTTAGCATCTCCAAATCTGCAGCTTGTGTGAGTATTCTGCTCACCCTCTTTCCAATACCTTTTTCGAACTTTTTTGGTCTTCTTATTTTACTATGTGGTTTTAATACGCAGTATAAAAGCTTTGATTTTAGTTTAAAAGTTTAATTTCTCTGTGTTCTTAGTTTGGGTTAACACTTTTCTCTTAGTGGTCTTAGTTTGGGTCATCACCTTTTCTCTTCTATCTTATCAGGCTACTGAACGACAACTTACTGGATGGACGAGTGCCTGAAGAAATTTATTCAATTGGTGTGCATGGTGGAGCCATCGAGTATGTAAACTTCCATCTATATATTTTGAAGTGCTCATTCTATCTGTCACCACTCGATTTTTCACGAGCTGCGGCTTGTTAAAAACTTAAAAACATGAAAAGACACGTAAAAATAGATGGTAAAATTTTTCGCATTTAAGATAAAACATAAATACATTTTATTTACAAATTCAAGTTAAAGTTTGAATACATAGGACCCGGTAATAAAACAACTTAAAAATGTTAACCAGTTGAAAATGGTGTAGTTCTATATGACACCTACTTGACCAACTCCTTCTTTTCACTTGACAAACATGAGAGAACTTGAATTAGTACAAAGACTTAGTAAGTGGCCTACGACTCTTAATCGTATTCTTGCTATGATAAGGTACTACACTACTTCTTAACTTGTTATGGTTCTTGTGGCAAGTACATAGGCCCTTAGGTTCTATTCTTGAGTTATGAGTTTTTGTCATGATCTAACCTGAGGACCTTGGTTCTGAGGTTTCAACCTTGGTTTTGATTTAAAGACCTTAGTTCTAAGGTTCTGGGTTATTCTCTTCCGAACTTGGATCTTGATCCATGTTCTAGTTCTAGTTCTTGACCAATGTTTTGTTCTTGGTTATGCTTTTGTTCTGTTCTCATTTTGTTCCCCAAGACACTCTCCCTAGGACTTACGGTACAAGTCACGAACCTGACAACTTGTGTCTGAGGCTTAATACGTTCCAAGCGACACAGTCTTAACCTACGTCCAAGGCTTCATGCGTTTTGAGCGACGTAGCCTGAATCTGCATCCAGGGCTTCATACGTTCCAAGCGACATAGTCTAAATACTTACGCTCAAGGCTTCTTATGTTCCAAGGAATGTAGTTTGAAAATCTACATCTAATGCTTCTTGCGTTCCAAGCAATGTCGCCTGAGTCATGAGCATGCTATACCGTGGGAGGTCTAAGGGTTTCTTGAGTTTTTGAGTCTGGGGACCTTGGTCCATTATCTTTGAGTGGTACCTACCATTTTGCTTATCTCTATAGATGTAGGATTGTGTTGGTATTTCTCTTGGTTCTGGTTCTTAGAGCATTCTATAAATTCTAAGGCTTCATGCGTTTTGAGTGACGTAGTTTGAATCCGCATCCAGGGTTCTTAATTTCTTGAGTCATAGGTCACATAACATACATTCTTAAGCTCTACTTAATTCTCTTGAATTATGAACCCATCATGGTAACATGCATGAGCCATTGAAAATATCATGAAGTTATTCTGCGTTCTTTAGAAAATTCTAGAAAAGTCTTGGATCTTAGGTAAGGGTCATTTACTTCCATCGTGGGTAATGTATTTGGATTCAAGGCTTTGCGTGCTCTACGTCGGGAGGATTTGCAAATCCCTACTGCTTATATTAAAACTTTCCAAGGCCTGCCTCATGGTATTCAGGTTGAAAGAGATAAATTGAACAAGTATGGTCGCCCTCTATTGGGATGTACTATTAAACCAAAATTGGGATTATCCGTTAAAAATTATGGTAGAGCAGTTTATGAATGTCTACGCGGTGGACTTGATTTTACCAAAGAGGATGAAAACGTGAATTCCCAACCATTTACGCGTTGGAGAGACTGTTTCCTATTTTGTGCGGAAGCCATTTATAAATCACAGGCTGAAACAGGTGAAATCAAGGGACATTACTTGAATGTTATTGCGGGTACATGCAAAGAAATGATGAAAAGGGCTATATTTGCTCGAGAATCCTTGGGCTTTACTTATGCCCTAACTTAGTTTAGGTTTCCAATTTGCTCCGAGTAACTTGAGATCTTGAATATATTTTTATGTCCATACAAATAGGTCTTACCCAAAAGTAACAAGTCATTTGGAGGATGTTTAGACCTTGAGATGTCTTAAAGAGTCCTATGGGCATTTTCGTCATTTTACCCTCTAATCTTTGATTTAGACTCTAAACGTCTTCCATGACTTTATTTTACAAAGTCATTAATCATCATGATATAAGACCTATTACAAACGTTTCATGCCATTGGGAGGTCATTTAGGTCTCGAACCGAAGGTAACTGTCATAGGGATATTTTGGTCATTTGTATCCTTTGTTGATTTAGCCACTTATCTTTATCCAAGGACCACTAAATTTCATGTATTCCCTTTACATGTCAAGTTATTATCAGATTTAAAATTTCATGGACAGTTGAGTTTGTTTAGTTGGTTATTTTGACGTTACTTGAATCTCGAGTAATTCGCTCCATTCAGGGCCTTAACTCATGGTTCTTGTTGTTTTTCTTTTTTATTTTCGTTCATACTTGGTTTAAGGTCTATATTAAAATCCGAAGGATTTCTACGAGTATTTCTTAATAAAAGCCTTAGATGACTACTTACCTCGGTGTTGACGTTTAGGTCCTCGGTTCTCAAGCTTCTTGTATTCAAATTGCTCCAATTTTTTTTTATTAGATCCATCTCTTGAGTCAAACCATAAAAGAAATTCATGAGAACCGGTTTAGGAGGGGTTTAAATTGATCAAAAAGTGTAGAAAGGTCAGCATAGCTACCTTTGACTTTTATTGGTTAAAGTTTGATCTTTTACTTTGGGACTTGTCTTCACTATTTTTCTCATCGTATACCTCTGGTTTTTCCCTTGTACAACTCTATATAGATCTTAAATTGACTCAATTTCTTCTCAAAACGTTTAGATGAAGTTTCAAAGAAGCAGAGACTAATTTTATACCGTTTCATGATATGTAGCTTGAGTTATAACCTTCAAAAGTTCACCGGAAAACATGTTTTTTGTTGGAATAAATCAATTTTTTTTTATTGGCTAGGATGTTCTAGACCTTACCAGGCCCCACTCCTTCATGAAACTTGTTGGAAATCTCATATGAAACGTGTAGGAGTTGGTAGGAGGAAAAATAATTAACCATAGCCCTCGAATTTAGAAGAGACTGAGGAAGAAAACCCTATAATCTAAAAGCTTCAAACTTGAGTTTTAGGAATTCTCATCACTCGATTCTTGTCTTAAAACATTGCACAAAATTTCTTATTTATAGATGAAGCTTGCATCTCTTCCATAATCGTGCTGAATTTTCTCTTTCTATTTTGAACTTTTCTGGAATACTCGTTGGAAATATCTACTCCGATAAGGGTGCTGTCGTCATTGGTTTTGAATTTCAACCTTTAGATCTAAAGAACTTCGAGTCTTCTTGAACATATTCAAATTTAAGCTCAATCCAACTGTTGGATGTGGAGATACATATGATTTTATACTGCTGGACTATTCTAGAACCAAATCTGCCTGTAGATTTTCTTCGGTGGCATTTTCATAATTAGGAGGAACTTCTGGCATTATTGTAATTTGTCACTTTTTATTATTTTTTCTGAAAAATCCAAACTTTTTCAAAAAATCCTTTACCCTTTGTTAGTCATTTCCCCCTCCTTAAGCACCTTGAAATTCATTTACTGGGGGAGTTCCTTGAAATTTGGAAAAATGATCTCTTTTTTTTTTTTTTTTTTTTTTCCCTAGTT